GGTGATCAGCTGAAACATTCACACCTAGCCCCAGCAGACAAAAGTCCTTTGTCTCACCCTGGTCATTCCACAGATATAAACCCATTTTTCCTACTTCCAACAGACCTCACTACCTCTGAGGATGCTTGCCATAGATGCAGGCGAAACGTCAGGAGAAAAATTGCCTCAAGAACATGGCCATATAGCCCGGAAAAACCTACAACAACCCAGTGATTCCGGCCATGAAAGCCTTCGACAATACAAGATCTTCATACCCATCTTTTTGGGTGGAGCATAACAACCCCAGAGGCCAACCTTAGTTGGTCTAGGTTCTTGTGGGTTTTTTCGGGCTATAGATCCATGTTCTAGAGGCATTTCTCCTGACGTTTCGCCTGCATCTATGGCAAGCATCCTCAGAGGTAGTGAGGTCTGTTGGAAAATGCTGTGTTTTCTGATGGTCTTTGGTGAACCTTCTGACACCCTCTTGGTGACCCTCCCTCTGGGACTTGACTTCCCAGGTTGAGAAATGCTGCCTTAAGGCCATCCAGTCCAACTCCCTTCACCAGGGCAAGAAAACATAATCAAAGCCCTCCTGACAAAGAGTCATCCAGTTATTCACACACACGCACATATATATATGACAGATGCAGTATCAAATATTTGAAAGGGACTCCTAAAGAAGGACAATGATATGTTGCATGTTCCAAAGTAAGCAAACCAGACAATCTCCACATCAACACTGTCAAAGAAACAGCAAGAAATACTGTCGAAGGCTTTCATGGCTAGAATCACTAAGTTCTTGTGGGTTTTTTCGGGCTATATGGCCATGTTCTAGAGGCATTTCTCCTGACATTTTGCCTGCATCTATGGCAAACATCCTCAGAGGTGCGGTCTGTTGGAACTGGGAAAAAGGGTTTATATATCTGTGGAATGACCAGGGTGAGACAAAGGACTTTGTCACACCTAGCCCAACTGACAAAATGTGGGCATGCTTTTGGCTGATAAGATTGTTGTTGTTATTGTTGTGTGCTTTCAAGTCATTTCAGATTTAAGTTGACCCTTAGCGAGGGCCAGGTAAATGACCTTGGAGGGCCGTATCTGGCCCCCGGGCCTTAGTTTGAGGACCCCTGGCAGGCCCGTAGCCAGGATTTCGATTCGGGGGGGGGGCTGAGTTTTTTTTCAGGGGGGGTTTCGGGGGGGCTGAGTTTTGGGGGGGCTGAGTCTGAGTGAAAGAGGGTCTACCCTAGCAAACCTTTTGTATCGTTACCCCAATACCCCCATGCATATGGGATATATTGAGTATGGTGATCAGATCATGATATGAATAAACATAACAGTTTAAATAATGCACCAGTAAGGCCTTTTCGTGAACCACCTTGAGAATTTCGGGGGGGGGGGGCTGAAGCCCCTCAAGCCCCCCCCCCCCCCCCCTTGGCTACATGCCTGACCCCTGGTTTAGGGCTTTGTAGGTAAGCACCTGTACCTTTAATTGGGACCGGCAAATGAATTGCAACCAGTAGCAGGCCCGTAGCCAGGATTTCGTTTCGGGGGGGGGCTGAATTTTTTTCAGGGGGGGGGGGGGGGCTGAGTTTCGGGGGGGGGGGCTGAGTCTGAGTGAAAGAGGGTCTAGCCTAGCAAACCTTTTTTATCATTACCCCAATACCCCCATGCATATGGGATATATTGAGTATGTTGATCAGATCATGATATGAATAAACATAACAGTTTAAATAATGCACCAGTAAGGCCTTTTCGTGAACCACCATGAGAATTTCGGGGGCTGAAGCCCCTCAAGCCCCCCCCCCCCCGCGGCTACATGCCTGACCTCTGGTTTAGGGCTTTGTATGTAAGCACCTGTACCTTGAATTGGGACCCAAGAATGATTGGTTGCAGGCTCGTAGCCAGGATTTCGTTTCGGGGGGGGGCTGAATTTTTTTCAGGGGGGTTCGGGGGGCTGAGTTTCGGGGGGGGGGCTGAGTCTGAGTGAAAGAGGGTCTAGCCTAGCAAACCTTTTGTATCATTACCCCAATACCCCCATGCATATGGGATATATTGAGTATGGTGATCAGATCATGATATGAATAAACATAAGTTTAAATAATGCACCAGTAAGGCCTTTTCGCGAACCACCATGAGAATTTCGGGGGGGGGGGCTGAAGCCCCTCAAGCCTCCCCCCCGCCCTGGCTACATGCCTGATACAGCCCTACAGTTCCTTTGCTGAAGGACTTCAGTCAGCCATCACGGAAGCCTGAATTCTTTTCCCCTGGAATTGTACAAAGCTCTGCTTGGTAAGGGTCACTCGCAGAAGCCAGAAGTAGTTGGTACCGGATGTAGGGGCTCCACGTCAACAGAGGCAAAGAAAGACTGCCCAGATTCGAAGTTAATGATTTCCCCATTAGTTAGTATACAGTTATGAAGATAGTGCCTGTTTCCTGTGGACAAGATTGAGAGAGCCAATAGGCTGTTAAGAAAGCTTTAAAGTACCTGTTTGTTTTCATCAATAAAGAACTTTGTTGAACCTTTGAACATTCTAGAGACTGTGTTTTAAGGAAATCCAAGGGCCTTTAATCTGAGGCAGCCCCGGCGTCCCGTTGGGCACACGGAATTTATGTCCTGTCTACAGTTTGATGCACAGGCCCAGCGTGCGACAGCACAGGGCCATTTTCAAGGGCAGCCCCATGTAGAGCGCATTACAGTAGTCCAATCTGGAAGTGACTAAGGCGTGGACCACCCTGGCCAGATCTGCCTTCACAAGGTACGGTCGCAGTTGGCGCACGAGTCTTAATTGTGCAAAGGCCCTCCTGGCCACCGCCGACACCTGAGCTTCAAGCGACAGTGATGAGTCCAGGAGGACAACCAAACTGCGAACCTGTGACTTCAGGGGGAGTTTAACTTTTGTTTGTAACTTGGGGACTATTTATTTATTTATTTTGTCGTGTCAGGGTAACCAGCCAATTATATTACATTTCTAACAGAACAGAGCAAACAGACAGACAAAATACAAAATTTGTGAGTTTGGTAGTTGATTAAATGTCCTTTGACCAGTATCTGGCCACTTGGAGTGCTTCTGGTATTGCTGCAAGAAAGTCCTCCATGGTGCATGTAGCAGGGCTCAGGTAGCATTGCAGCAGGTGGTCCGTAGTTTGTTCTTCTCCACACTCGTATGTCGTGGATTCCACTTTGTAGCCCCATTTCTTAAGGTTGGCTCTGCATCTCATGGTATCAGAGCACAGTCTATTTAGTGTCTTTCAAGTCGCCCAGTTTTCTGTGTGCACAGGAGGGAGTCTCTCATTTGGTATCAGCCATTGGTTGAGGTTCTGGGCTTGTCTGTTTTTGAGATGAAAGGCACATGCCTGTGTTTTAGATGGATTAGGGATCAGCTGGTTTTCCCTGTAAGACGCAGGTTCGCAGCTTGGTTGTGATCCTGGACTCATCGCTGAGCCTGGAACCCCAGGTTTCAGCGGTGACCAGGGGAGCATTCGCACAGTTAAAGCTTGTGCGCCAGCTGCGCCCGTACCTTGGGAAATTTGACTTGGCCATGGTAGTCCACGCTCTTGTTACATCCCGTTTAGACTACTGCAATGCTCTCTACGTGGGGTTGCCATTGAAGATGGCTCGGAAGCTTCAATTGGTCCAGCGTGTGGCAGCCATGATACTTACAGGGGCGGCACACAAGGAACATACAACCTCTCTGTTGCGCCAGCTCCATTGGCTACCAATCTGCTACCGGGCCCAATTCAAGGTGCTGGCTTTGGCCTATAAAGCTCTAAACGGTTCTGGCCCAAGTTACCTATCCGATCGCATCTCCACCTATGAACCCACTAGGACTTTGAGATCTTCCGGGGAGGCCCTGCTCTTGATCCCGCCTGCAACACAGGCACGACTGGCGGGGACGAAAGACAGGGCCTTCTCGGTGGTGGCCCCTCGGCTGTGGAACGCCCTTCCCACGGACATCAGATTGGCTCCCTCCTTGTTGGTATTCCGGAGAAAGATGAAAACATGGCTATTCGAACAGGCGTTTGAATAAGCAGTGCAATGACTTCAGGAATGGAACTATGACTGACGAGTTTGGATCATGATTCTAGTTATGAGACGCCACTTGAATGTTTATTACTGATTAATTGTTTAATTTGTTTCTGTGCTAATTGTTTTTAAGTATCTGTTGATGTCGCATTGAATTCTTGTCTTGACTGTTGCTCTGTTCGTGCTTGATTGTTGTAAATTGCTATGAGTCGCCTTAGGGCTGAGAATGGCGGTATACAAGTGAAGTAAATAAATAAATAATAAATAAATAAATAAATAAATACACAGTAAGGGCACCTAGAGCTTTGGAAAGCTTCTGTTCTACCATCTCAAAGCTCCCTGCTTAAGCGGTGATGGCACGATCATCAGCACAGATGAAACTCTCTGTCCCTTCTGGCAGTGGCTGGTCATTTGTGTAGATGTTGAACATGGGTGGAGCAAGCACGCTCCCCTGAGGCAGGCCGTTCTTCTGTTTCCGCCATCTGCTTCTCTGGCCCTGGAACTCAACAAAAGCTCCTGTTTTGTAGCAGGTTTCCTATGAGGCGGGTGAGGTGGTCGTCCTTTGTGATATTATACATTTTTCTCAGGAGGAGGCGGTGGTTCACAGTATCATAGGTCACAGAAGCGACCAACTTGGGGACCGCTTGTGTATATGTGTGTGAGAGGAAAAAATTCAGGGTGGGACGGGAGTTTTTTCTCCCCCCTCCCTCCTCTCGCGCTCCCATCCCGCCCAGAAATACTTCGCGTCCTCCTCAGAGGCGCGAGGACGGACTGCTGCGCGCGCGAGCACGAATGGACGGGGGAAGGAGGGGAGGCATATTGCGCCAAGGAGAGCTAGGAGGCTCGCGCGCAGCACAACACAGCAGCAGCAGCAGCAGCAGGAGGAGGAACAGCGCGCGGGCTCTTCTCTTCTCCTCTCCTCCCGCCCACCGCTGTCTGCTCTCCGCCTTCTCCCTTCCCTGCCGCTGCTGCTGCTGCTGCTGCTGAGGCGGCATTGCTTCCCTCTCCCTCTCTCTCTCTCTCTCTCTCGGTCTTCACTACCGGGTCAGGCAGGGAGGAGAGCGAGGCTGGGAGCCAGACAGACATCCCTCCCCTACAACTAGTCACACACACACCCTCCCTCTCTCCTTCCCTCACACACGCAACGAGCATCTCGGTGGCAGCTGCCATGGCTCGCAGTTAGAGCCGGAGAGACGGGAGGGGAAGCGGTCCCTCAGCCGCCCTTCCTTCCTTCCTTCCTTGCCCGCCCCTCTCTCTCCCTCTCTTCCCTGGCAGGCAACTCCAAGGGCAGGCAGGCCGGCCCAGCCCACCCCGCGGGCCCCCACGGCAATGTCCAAGGGCTTGAAGAAGAAAAGCCACTGGACGAGCCGAGTCCATGAGTGTGCCATCGTGAGGAGCGCCGAGGGCCAGCTGGGCTTCGAGCTCAAGGGGGGCGCCGAGAACGGGCAGTTCCCGTACCTGGGGGAGGTCAAGCCCGGGCAGGTGTTCTACGAGGCCGGCGGCGGCGGGGCCGGGGGGAAGCTGGTGCCCGAGGAGCTCCTCCTGGAGGTCAACGAGACCCCCGTGGCCGGCCTCACCATCCGGGACGTGCTGGCCGTCATCAAGCACTGCAAGGACCCCATCCGGCTCAAGTGTGTCAAGCAAGGTAGGCTTGGCTGGCAGGCAAGGAGGCCAACTTTTCCCCATTTCCCTTTCTTCGGGCCACTCCTCCCTCCCGTCCCCTGGCTCTTGGGATCTTCAGGGTGCCTCAGTCCCAGCCCTGCAAAGCGGGGAAAGTTAGGCCCGGAGCAAAGGGGAAAGCGAGGAGGAGGAGGAGGAGGGGCAGGGCTTGGACTATGTCTCTTCCCCCTCCCGAGGAGGCCCACCTTCCCATCCTGGGAGGCTGGGAGAAAGAAGGGGGGCAGAGGGCTCCTGAGAGAGTGCAGAGGGCTCCTGAGAGAATGCAGCACCATTCTGGAAATGCAGATGGCTTGGGACCCCCTCAGAAACCATCTCCACTTGCAGAAGACTTCTGGAAGTGGAGATGGTTTCTGAGGGAGTGCAGAGGACTTCTGAACATTCAGATGCCTTATGACAAAGTGCAGAGGACTTCTGGAAGGGGAGATGGTTTCTGAGGGAGTGCAGAGCGCTCCTGGAAATGCAGATGGCTTATGACAGAGTGCAGAGGACTTCTGAAAATGCAGAGGGCTCCTGAGAGAGTGCAGAGGACTCCGGAGAGAATGCAGCACTATTCTGGGAATGCAGATTGCTTATGACAGAGTGCAGAGGGCCCCTGAAAATGCAGATGGCTTATGACAAAGTGCTAGAGGACTTCTGAGAGAGTGCAGAGGGTTCTTGATAGTGCAGAGGGCTTCTGAGTATGCAGAGGCTGCTTAGCAAAGACAGGGGGTTTCTGAGAAAGTGCAGAGGGCTTGTGAGAGAGTGTAGAGGGCTCCTGAGAGAATGCAGCAGCCTTCTGGAAAGGCAGATAGCTTCTGAGAGAGTGCAGAGTGCTCCTGAAAATGCAGACGGCTTATGACAGAGTGCAAGGGACTTCTGAGAGAGTGCAGAGGGTTCCTGATAGTGCTGAGGGCTTCTGAGTGTGCAGAGGCTGCTTAGCAAAGACAGGGGGTTTCTGAGAAAGTGCAGAGGGCTTGTGAGAGAGTGCAGAGGGCTCCTGAGAGAATGCAGCAGCCTTCTGGAAAGGCAGATGGGTTCTGAGAAAGTGCAGAGTGCTCCTGAAAATGCAGGTGGCTTATGACAGAGCGCAAAGGACTTCTGAGAGAGTGCAGAGGGCTTCTGAGTGTGCAGAGGCTTTTTAGCAAAGGCAGGGGGTTTCTGAGAAAGTGCAGAGGGCTTGTGAGAGAGTGTAGAGGGCTCCTGAGAGAATGCAGCAGCCTTCTGGAAAGGCAGGTGGCTTCTGAGAGAGTGCAGAGTGCTCCTGAAAATGTAGATGGCGTATGACAGAGTGCAAACGACTCCTGAGAGAGTGCAGAGGGCTTCTGAGTGTGCAGAGGGTTTTTAGCAAAAGCAGGGGGTTTCTGAGAAAATGCAGAGGATGTTGAAAGTGCAGAGAGCTTGTGAGAGAGTGAAGAGGGCTCCTGAAAGTGCAGATGGCTTCTGAGAGAGTGAAGAGGGCTTCTGAGAAAGTGCAGAGGATTCTGAGTGTGCAGAGGCTTTTTAGTAAAGGAGAAAGTGTTTCTGAGAAAGTGCAGAGGCTTCTGAAAGTGCGGATGGCTTCTGAGAGAGTGCAGAGGGCTCCTGAGTAAATGCAGCAGGCTTCTGGAAAGGCAGATGGCTCCTGAAAATGCAGAGGGCTTATGACAGAGTGCAGAGGGTTCCTGAGAGAGTGCAGAGGGCTGAGTGTGCACAGGCTTCTCAGTGAACGCAGAGGGCTTTTGAGAAAGTGCAGAGGATTCTGAAAGTGCAGAGGGCTCTTGAGAGAGTTCAAGCACTTCTGCGAGGGTGCAGAAGGCTCCTGAAAGATCACAAGGCTACCAACCTACCCCTTCCCATTCAGGCTGGCTTGAGGAGGCCCTCTCTGTAGAGCCCCAATCGGTGCCCTCCCTCCTTGCCCAGAAATTGTGCCAGGATGCCTGCATCCCAGGGAAGGAGTTCCCTGGGTCAATCAAAACAAGCCGAGGACCGTACAGATGGCAGGCTGAAGCCCTGGCCTTGACTTAGCTAAAGAACCTTCCCCTCTTAGATCCCAGATTCGGATGGGAATGCATTGGGCCTGGACTGATATCTCTAATTTCTGATTTTGCCAGGAGAGCAGCAGCTGAACCGCTTGCCTTGTAATTAGAGGGAGGAAGGAGGGGGAGAAGTGTGGATAAACATTGTGACAGCGCTCCAGGAAAGAGGAGCCTTCCCTGGGAAGCATCCCTGGTGACGAACCTGGGAGGGGAGTGGGCTCTTCGGAGTAGGGCCTTGTAGCCAATGGGAGAGCTGGGTTTTCCCTGGATCGACATCCTCACGCGGGAGTCTTTCCCCGGAGGAAGTCTCCTTTTGAGCATCTCTGCAAGACATCCCAGGCGGTTTCACTAGGCCTGTGACCTACTGAAACGGTCATTGCCATTTTGACAGTCCAGAACAGGAATGGACACACCTCTGTTCCTTTCTTTTTGTTTCTGATTTGGGACTATCTTTGAGACTCTGCTTTCAAAGAACACAGAGAGAGATTGCAATGAAAGAGCTTTAGCAACTCATCAAAGAACTTTGAAGGCACTCCTCATCTGTCTTAATAAATTGTAGGGCGTGAAGCTGCGCTCGGCTTCAGTTCTGAAACTTGAGTGCGCTGTTGTGGAAGCTACACCTATGTTAATAAATATTTCACTGCTTGCGTTGCCATCAGAGGGTGGACTATTAGTGAAGAAGGAAAAGAGTGTTGTCTTTCCCATTCCCAGACAAACCCCCCTTTCCCCCAAAGTCAAAGCAACGGTCTTGTGGGAAGAGGTGGCAGTCTTGTTAATTATAACAAATCAATATCTGTCAAATGTATATAATTGGAAAACTGGCCTCCGGACTTTGAGTGCTAAACTGGGAGGGATGGTGGAGGAAACTTAACAACAGTAAACATTTAGCAAAAAGCATGTGCACACAATTAAGCAGTGTAACAAACATAGAAATATGGAACAATTGGATGATGAGACTGGATCTTGATTTTAACTATGAGACGCTAATGAGATGTTTTATTGATTTATATTGACTGTTTATTATGCTACTGTTCTAATTGTTTTTAACTGTTTTGTGATGTTTTAGAGCAGGGGTCTTCAAACTAAGGCCTGGGGGCCGGATACGGCCCTCCAAGGTCATTTACCTGGCCCTCACTCAGGGTCAACCTAAGTCTGAAACGACTTGAAAGCACACAATAAAAATAACAACAACATTCCTATCTCATCACCCAAAAACAGGACTACACTTCCCACTGAAATACTAATAAGTTTATATTTATTAAAATTGTTCTTCATTTTAATTAGTGTATTGTTTTAAAGTGGTGTTTTTTTTTGCACTACAAATAAGATATGTGCAGTGTGCATAGGAATTCATTCATGTTTTTTTCAAATTATAATCTGCCCCTCCAACAGTTTGAGGGACTGTGACCTGGCCCTCAGTTTAAAAAGTTTGAGGAACCCTGTTTTAGAGCATTGAATTTTGCTATTGTTAACCGCTCGGAGTCGCCTGGGGGCTGAGAAGAGTGGTATACAAATATAGTAAATAAAAAATAAATTAGAAGCTCTAAAGCAGGGGTCCTCAAACTAAGGTCCGGGGGCCGGATATGGCCCTCCAAGGTCATTTACCCGGCCCTCACTCATGGTCAACCTAAGTCTAAAACTACTTGAAAGCACACAACAACAACAACAACAACAGCAAAAACAACAACAACAACAACATCAACCCTATCTCATCAGCCAAAAGCAGGCCCACACTTCCCATTGAAATACTAATAAGTTTATATTTGTTTAAATCAGGGGTCCTCAAACTTTTCAAACAGAGGGCTAGGTCACAGAACCTCTAACTGTTGGAGGGCCAGATTATAATTTGAAAAAAATGAATGAATTCCTATGCACACTGTACATATCATATTTGTAGTGCCAAAAATACTTAAAAACAATACAATAATTAAAATGAAAAACAATTTCAACAAATATAAAATTATTAGTATTTCAATGGGAAGTGTGGGTCTACTTTTGGCTGATGAGATAGGATTGTTGTTGTTGTTGTGTGCTTTCAAGTCATTTCAGACTTAGTTTGACCCTGAGCGAGGGCTGGGTAAATGACCTTGGAGGGCTGCATTCAGCCCCCGGGCCTTAGTTTGAGGACCCCTGGTTTAAATTGCCCTTCATTATGATTATTGCATTTTTAAAGTATTTTTTGCACTACAAATAAAATATGTGCAGTGTGCATAGGAATTCATTCATGTTTTTTTTTTCAAATTATAATCTGGCCCTCCAACAGTTTGAGAGACTGTGACCTGGCCCTCTGTTTAAAAAGTTTGCGGACCCCTGCTCTAAAGGGAAAACATTTATGAATGAGTGGCATTGGGCACACATGTTTGGCAGGAATGGCTTCATCTGTTTATTATTTATTTATTTCCAGCATTTGTATCCCGTTCCTTCTCAACCCCTGAAGGGGGACTTGGGAAAGCTTTCATTTGTCAGCAATTTGATGCCACTACATAATACAGCAATATAATAACAAAACAATAAGTAAAACATTCATTAAAAGAGTAAAAACAGTATTAATAGCCGTAACATCATTCCAGTCAATTCCATGTCCAATTATTATTATTATTATTATCAACTTTATTTGTACCCCGCTAACATCTCCCGCAGGACTCGATGCAGCTTACAAAGGCCAAGGCCTCAATAAAAACAACAGCATAACAATACACATAACATTTCATGCAAATCAAAACGTTAAGCAATAACAGTAAACAATAAGACAATATACCATAACACAATAAAACTCGGGCCGGGCCAAATGTAATCCAATTCCATGTCCAAAGTGCTCTCTACGTCTGTTGTCCAAAATCTATGGCAGGGGTCCTCAAACTTTTTTAAACAGAGGGCCAGGTCACAGTCCTTCAAATTGTTGAAGGGCCGGATTATAATTTGAAAAAATCATGAATGAATTGCTGTCCACACTGCACATATTTTATTTGTA